AATTCTACTATAAGCGATATATATATAATATCATTGATGTGTGTGGTGTGATGTGTTTGTGTGCGTGCGTGCGTCGTGCGTGCGTCGTGCGTGCGTCTTGCGTGCGTTGTGCGTGCATGTGTGTGTGTGTGTGTGTGTTGTGGTGTGTGTGTGTGATTGTTTGTGTGCGAGCAGTTGTGATCGGTGTGCATGTGTACACTCAACACGGCATATAGGCCATCGTTAAATCTGGTGCTGAGATTTTGATGACTTTTTTCGCCCCAAAGTATTCGGTAATACCAGGGGTAAAATAACCCAATCAACTCCTGGTATTAGACTTTTCCGCTGCTGCCTTTTTGGACAAATATATAAACGACAGCGCTTCAGATTCTGACCATCTCAATGCATTACTTCGCATGTTTTCGATGTGACGTGAACGTCATACTGTTGGGTCTCCCTACTCACGACTATTATTTACAGAGTACAAACTCTTCGCCCTCTCGCTCGCGCTACTTTTTCTAAATCGGCGCGTTACGAATTAAGTTCTGACATATTTTTGGCATTAGCGTATGATATTCGAGTGACGTACGCTTACTGATGCTGGTCCCCTTACTCATAACACTATTATACATCTCGATATTATCACTCCTGCCCTGTTATTTACTGAGACCAACTCTCACCTTCCTTCGACTCTCGCGGCCGCCCTCCTTCCGTCTCTCTTCTCTCTCTCCTCCGCTCTCTCTCTTCTCTCCTCCCGCTCTCACTCTCTCTCTCTTCCTTCTCTCGACTCTGCTCTCATCTCTCTCCTCTCCCTCTCACTCTATCTCTCTCTATCTCTCTCCCCGCTTCTCTCTCTCTCTCTCTCTCTCTACTCTCTCTACTCTCTCTTCCCGCTCTCATACTCTCTTTCCGTCTTCCTCTCTCTCTCCCGGCTCTCTACCATCTCTCTCGGCTCTCGTCTCCATCCCGCGCTCTCTCTCTCCGTCATCTCTCATCTCTCCTCTCTCCTCCTCTCCCCCTCCGCTCTCTCGTGCCTCACCTCTAAGCAGAGCTCGTCTCAGTAAGTTTCTCCCTCCCCATTCCTTCTCTTTCTCTCTCTCTCTCCTCTTCTCCTCCCTCTCTCCCCCTCCCTCTCTCTCCTCACGCTGCCTAAGGCAAGAGTCCCTCAGTATGATCCTCTCTCCCCTTCTCTCTCCTCTCTCTCCTCCTCTCTCTCCCATTTTTCTCTCCTCACCCTTCTAAGCAGAGTCTCTCAGTAGTTCCTCCGTCGTGCGTGGTCTCCGCTGCGTGTGCTTGTGGTGACGCGGCGTTCGGCTGCGTCGCTTGTTCTTCGGCGTCTCGGTCGCTAACGATGTCGACGTTGAATGAATTAAGGTGGCCGACCTTGCCTCGCAGCACGCCCGTCCACGTGCCCGTGCTCGGCATGCTAAACACGTCGATGACGTCACCCGTCTGAAGGCGCTACGAGAGGAGAGATGAAGGCCACAGGCACTGGAGCGTTTCAATAAAAATCCAGTGCTAAAAAATACGAATCTATACTACTACCAAAGTCTCTACTCTCTTTCACGCCTATATTTGCGACAATTCTGTACATGCGTCCAAGACTGCTCAATCTGTCACCACACGCTTGCCGCCGCACGCGATAGCTGCTGCACACACACACATACATATATATATATATATTTAGTATATTTAGGATGTTAGTATAGTAGTAGTAAATTGATAAGATAGATAGATGGATGATGATGATAGATAGATAGATAGACGGGCGGCACGACGACGATAATACGGATACAAAGATGGTTAGATGGCTGGTATGGATGGATGGATGGATGGATGGTTGGATGGACTTGGATTGAATGGGATGATTGATTGATTGATGGATGGATGGATGGATGGAATGATGGATGGATGGAGGAATGGCATGGATGGATGGATGGCATGGATTGATGGAATGGATGGATGGATGGTGGATGGATGATGGATGATGGATGGATGGAATGGATGATGGATGGATGAATGGATGATGGATGGAGGATGGATGGATAGATGGATGGACGGATGATGGGATGGATGATGGAATGGATGGATGGATGGATGGATTGATGGATGGATGGATGGATGGATGATGTGATGGATGGATGGATAAGAAGGATGGATGGATGGATGGACTGGATGGATGGATGGATGGATGGATGGATGGAATGGATGGATGGATGGATGGATGGATGGATGGATGGATGGATGGATGGATGGAATGGATGGATGGATGATCGGATGGATGGATGGACTGGATGGAGGATTGGATGGACGGATGGATGGATGGATGGATGGATTGGATGGATGGATCGAGTGGATAGATGGATGGAGAAATTAAAGTTCAGGGTTCAGCACCCCTGGCGCGCTAAGAGATGCTCTTGCGAGTATATTAAATTTTGGAGTGTAAACCGTTCTTGGAGTAGAGGCTCTCAAGTAACACGCACTCGCGCGGTGCGGTTAATTTTCTGATCTATCCTCGCGTGTAACGTGTCACGCAGTGAACACACGTAATAGAGAGTTACATGTATATATATGCAGCCTAGCATGACAGACGTCTTGTACGTGTGTGTACCTTCAGACGGAGGGCGTCCGTGTCGTAGGGACTCGGTGTATAATCCTTCTTCACCACCGCTTTGGCGATGACTGGACCTGTTTGGATGTGATCCTCTCCGGAGCTGTCACTGATGTGACTCAGCCGATTGAAATAACCTAGAAACGCACATCTTAGTCTGAAACTGTGCCCACGGATGGTTTACCCCGGTATAGTATACCACATACTTAGTCACACATACATAGACACATCACTTAGTCTACACCTGCGCGCATTGATAGTTTATCCCGGTATAGTATACGACATACTTCTGCAACTGCGCACCGATAGCAGCTTACCGCGGTACAGTTTACCAGCGACGACGAGATTAGTTTTATCGCGTTAGTTCTGCTTCCGTTATGACATCATACCAGTTTAAACTTTTGATGGTTACTTATATTATCAGGGGTGGATGCAAACAATAAAACCAAAGTTTATTTCTATTAATTCCCAATTATATATATATATAAGTAAATACACACGGACACCCATGCAGATGTAAAAGAATATAGAAATATATAAAAATAGAATAAGGTGTTCATTTATTATCTTGCGAGTCTCCGAGAACACATGTTTCTTCCTCAGGCTATACAACAACAATAGCGGTTGTTGTTGTGAAACATGAGATATGTTCTCGAAAGCTCGCAAAAAGCGATGGTCTCTACCTGGACTAGTGGGACTGATGAAGCTAGCTAGACTGTCCATGCTCTCAACTGAGTAACTGCGGCTCAAAGGCAGGGTAAGCTCCGACTGCGATCGCATCCTCGTGTCGTCAGACTAGAATACAACCAGGCGATGCTATTATTATTATTATTAATATTATTTTTATTATGATTATTACTATTATCATTATAAGTACCGTTGCCATTACCATTACCATTACGATTACCAATATCGTTATTGTTATTATTATTATTATTATTATTATTATTATTATTATGTAAGATGTATAGTAGGCACAGTATAGGTTCAGTATGCCACTCACAACACTATCCATAGCATAGCATAGCGCGACGTCACAGTTCATGCAACAGTACTTTGGCTAAATCTCGAATTTCATTCACATTTGTCCATAAACGCGCACGCACGCACGCACACATAGGCCTAGACGTTCGCATGAACGTACGTACACATACACGAACGCACGCACGTACACGCGCATATATACGAGCGTACATACATTGACGTTTGTTTCAGATAAATATTATCGATAACAAACCAAATCGGAAGTAAGTGGGAAACCGGAAGTAATATGTTTCCTACTTTTTTTTGACACGCGTGCTCACTATAAGACTGACAAAACAAGAACTATCGGTACATACAACCGCAGCACGGTACGTGACGTATACAGACAAGGTGACACGTAGTGGAATTTCTTTCGAAAATCATGCCCACACTCACACACACACACACACACACACACACACACACACACACACGCACGCACGCACGCACACACACACACACACACACACGCATGCACGCACGCACGCACGCACGCACGCACGCACGCACACACACACACCTTGCTGCTCTCTCCCGCACACAGACACGTACCTGGTTCGGGTCGCCCATCAAGCTTGATCGCCTGCCTCCTATCGACATGCGACGTTTCATGGTATCCTTCAGCTTCAACATGCGGCCGGCGAGGTTCTTATGTCGCTTCATCTTCTGCGTGGCGGCAACGGCAGGGAAACAGACGCGATTACGTCACACATGCGCGCGAAAATAAATCTTATATGTACACAATGAGATGGGGCGATGACGTCATGAATGCGCGAGCGAAAAAATAAATTCCATACGTGCGCAATAAACAGTCAGAGATCACATGGCAATTACGCAACAAATGCGCGAAAAAATAAATCCCATACGTGCACAGTGAGATGGGGCAATGACGTCACAATGTTTATGCGGACGTTTCACACTGCCGACGGTTTGAGAATTTGTAAAAAACGAAGTTCGTAGAGATAAGAAGCGGCTATAGAAACGTGGTCGATGCAAAAAACAAACGGTCCGTTGATTTGTGAGGTTGATTTGAGTTAGTGTGGCAATTTCAAGATTGAAGGTCCATGCCGGGCTGCGAAGACGTCGCTAGCACGTAATTGTGTATAAACTCTATATATATATAGGCTAACGTCGGTTTTACCGCGCGATATAGAAGAAAGCTTTCAATAAATCACGGATTCACGCAAAGCAGATTGTCACTTTCAGAAATTGCCTCATTTGACGAACGAGTAAAACAGTATACTACATCGAAGAACTCAAGATGAAGCATAGAGAAAGAATGGGGGAGAACGAGAACGCGCATGAGCATGAGAATCATTCGGTATCTTTATATCCAAACCTATTCTGAGTATAA